CATTAAAAACTACAGTACTACGATTAATGATTCTTGATAAGACGTATGTAAAGCAGCTAAATGTAGACACCATGACTGACTATGACAAATTCATCCTTTGAATATGTATGTTTGACATCACTATTTTGTCCCTGAAATCATGCAACAAACAAGTGCGGTGTCGTACGTTGCAGTAACGTTATCATCTAGAACGCGGCCTTTGGGAGTTACCTCGCGAAAGTATCGCCGCAGTCCGCAACACATAATTTCTTTTTATAGGGTTTTTTCACGAAAATTTGCTCCTTTTAGAAACAAATTTTTACTACATAGTCGCGGCGGTTACTTTGAAAATTTCTCCCCAGACAATAATAAATCAATTTGTGTTATACCCACCATAGATGTATTGAAAAATTATGAATTTCTTGTTAAGTTTAGTGTTATACCGACCATGGATGTATTGAAAATTAAGAATACCTTGTGAAGTTTATCAAAAATTCATCAATTTTCTGAGTTCAACACATTCTACCTAATTATTTTCTTGCCTAATCATTTTCACATTCTCTTTTTTCCTCAATACAAACTTCACAACACAAATATCTACAAAATTTTTAAATAACTAAATTCCCATTGTATATTATTATAGACTAGTGACCCGCCCCGGCTTCGCACGGGTGCAATATGCATGTATTATACATACAAACCTTCCTTAAGAATCACTCTATCTATTTAAAAAAACCGCATCAAAATCCGTTGCGTAGTTTTAAAGATCTAAGCATACATACGGATATACAGCGAAAGCGACTTTGTTTTATACTATGTATTGATATGCTGTATGCAACCAAAAGTAGAAGAAACTACAATCTGGAATCTGGAATTTGTGACTAAAAGCTAAAAGCCTCGTTCCTACCAGACCGCGTAACAATCACGCAATTACGTTCTACAATTATAATAACTGGTTCCATAAACCCCTGTAAATATAAATTTCTTTCAATTTCTATACTTCAAGATAACAAAATTCCTCTAAAATGATTGTTACAAAAGATTATTGTAAAAGGTTTACACTCAGACACTCGAATATTCTTTTCTCTAATTTGATTAATGTTTCAATGGTGACAAAAATCTCACTTATCTACAGTGCTTTATATACGACCTATATGCGTATATATAGCAAGGTATGATTGGGTATCGTTATCAACGAACGTTATCACCCCAAGATAATATGACTTGATAAGCCAGGAGTTTCGAAAGCATCATACAAAAAGCTTTGTTATATTTAGTAATAAATCAATGAATGCTGTTATTGAACATAAATAGAAATCGCGCGATGACAATGAAACATGGTGATAAAATTGAGTACCTGTCTTTTGATACTAAATTGCATGTAGGTACATAGCTATTTATGTATTTCTCAGAATAGGAGGCTGGCGCGTGATGCCGGATATGACGCAATAATTCGACACTTTTTTCCTGAATATTGGTGATGAATTATATTTCCGCTTTCAACCTACGAATTAATATATTGATTCGTTTATGTAGGTAATACTTTCGCTATGTTTATCTTACTCGTATTGGAATTAAGGATGGTAAGTAAGTTTATTTGCACAACCTCATTAATTCGTTGTCATTTTTTGTCCAACCCGAGTGGAAGGTGAAACTACGATGCAGACAAATAAAAAGCAATGATTATATCTGTCATTGTAGTATACAAAAACATCTACTTAGTAAGTTTCTAGTTCCACCATTTCCCAAGTTTACCGACCCGGGGAGATTTAAATACGTCTGGCGAGTAATGGGTATAATATTCATAATTTACGGCGTCCATTGCTCCGACACACCTCTCACAAGCTACAACCGGGAACATGGTTCATTTACTTATTTTTATAAATGGTAATTTTATGGTGATCGATAGCCAACCACTTTTATCGCACTATCAAGCTTTTAAATCTCATAACTAGGTGTTATGTCTGCTTAGAAGTACCATTATATTAAATTATGGTTAAATTATGATAATATTAATGGATATCTACGATTTTAGCTATAAGTTATGAAGTATTTTCTCTCGAGCGCTGGATAGATGACTATTGTATAGTAAAATACTCTTCTGATTTAGTGAACTATAATGAATATATGAGATTAATCTTATTATCTAGTATAGAATATTTGGGATATAAACAGGTATAAACCGGTATTGATATATGATAATTTTCAAAATGAAATGTGATAATTGATAATATTTTACAGGAATCAAGTACATACTGAAGGAAAAATTTCTAAACCTAGGTTCTGTCACTAGCAAACTATGGCGAACATTTATTACAAAGAAAAATTGAGGAGAGTAAACAATATAATACGCTTTGTGTGATAAGGAAAATGAGCACATACCGTGTGTGATATAGAGTGACATTTGGTAAACAATATAGTGTGGACAACATTTCATCATCGCCAGCGTTGACAGTGATATCGGCATTAGGTGCACTTTACCTCATACAAAAATCCTTCCATATATATGTGTGTGTCAGTAGTGTATATCATATGAATACACACATAACTCTACTCCATCACGTCAACCGATATAAGGCACAAAAAATGTATTAATTTCAGTTCAATGGGTAAGTATGAAACTACCCGCGCGCTGAAAGGGGCGCGTCGTAGCGCCCGCGTTTTATTATCACATAAAACCGATAGTTTCCATGTGTAAAGCGCTGACACATCATGTATTGTATTGCAAAAGGCTCAAGCCAGGTCAAACGACTCACATACCCACGATAAAAATAAACTGAACATATAAATAGCCTTATACAGCACCCCTTTTAAAGAAATAAACTTTACATTTTTATAAAATAAACCCGCATTTTCACTAAGAAAAAAGCAATACTTGAGTCGGCTAAGCAAATTGATACAAATCTCAGTAAGCCGCCTCGGAATCCGATGGAAAATTGACTTGTTAAGTCGATGCAGATGCAAAATGCGCACCACAAGGCTTTACTTGAAAATGTATTCAAATTAGAACAAAATAAAACTGATTTCAGATATAGAATACTATTTTCGATACGATATTTAAAAGGTTTTCTTTTTATAGTACAAACATATTCTGAAGACATTCTGTTTGTTCGCTTTTCGTTTCAGATTTATTCTCTGCAAACTAAAAATAAAAAGTTTCATTTCGTCGAAGCTAAATCGAGATTGTGAAAACGTACTGCAAGAAGATTAACTATGCAGCATCTTGAGTTATAGCCCAGCCCGTCAGGGTTTCATAAAGTCCATATAATTAAAAAAAGGTGGGTGTTTGCTCGAACAAGAACTAATATATAAGGTTATTTTTAGCTCAGTGCATAAAGCATAAATAATTAATCTGTAGTGGGCGATGTTTCCCTGAATCATTCATAGATTTCATACTAATATTATTGAATGAAAATCATACAGAATCTAATAGGTCACTAATATGAATAGTAAATTGCAGTATTTCTTTCACTAGTTCATATACCTACTGTGTAATGAGACATTTTTTGTTAAAATACATTTTCGGGAAGCGTGTCAGTGTTTCAGACTACCCTTCCGCTCATGGATTCACCCGCGTGGTCAAAGGAAAAAAGTAGTCTACATTATTTTTCTTTCCGTTTTCTTTAAAAAAACGTCCTGCCACACTTGGTTTTTCTCCTGTGTCGTGGGTGCGTTTAAAAACGTACAAGTTCACATGCAAATGGCACCCATGCCTGGAACAACGATTTGTGGATCACACAAAAAGTTGCTCCGTGCGGGAATTGAACTCGCGACCCGTGCGGCAACCGGTTGCCCAGCCACCGTACCAACCGTGCTGTCAATATTCGCTGGGCCTCCACCTTCTATCACCGTTCAGATAATCAAATCATACCGTAAATACAATCAACCAACAACCATAGACAATTAAACATACCTTTTCAATTATAGCATTAATAAAGATTAAAAAAATTAGGCATAGTTACACCATATTTGTTAAGGAAATGCATGGAGTTGTTACCCATAATAGTAAAGTTATTAAACTAAGTTATTTGGCCTACCTATGAACCATTAGTTTAATCGAAACTCCAAATCACTGAACTTTATTGGAGAGATATTTGTATTCGCATACATATACATATACTTACGAATTACCGATGTAGGTTAATACTGTCATATTTGTGTTCACCTAAGTAGGTGTTACTAACAAGGAAACCTATCGGTAACCAGATTACTAAAAAGGCACACTGATTAATGCGGATGTCTTAGTTTAAGAAGATAACAAATAAAGATATTAAATTATTAACATTCATTTAAAATTCTGGTGAATGTAACAACTCAAGATAATATCCCCTTACAAAATGTAATTTCGTACCGGAATGAAATAAAAAAATGTCCAAATGTAAACTTCCAAAATTATTCCGATAAGGAAACCTTTTCAAAAATTATGTGAGAAAAAATCACATTGTGTACCGTCGCGATGTTATCGTAGAGATGAAGTCGAGCCGAAGGTAAATTGCAGAAAATTGCCTTCCCTTTTCTTAGATAACGAGTTCCCTGAAAGTGGGGCTCGTCGTATGAACGTAACGCATTTTGCCAACGATAAACGATAAGAAACTTATTAATGTGGCGCGCAAACACAACGCTTATTTTAATATTTTATCAGCCAACAAAGTGAGTGAACACGCACATTAGATTATCTTAAACAAACTGTGATACTGAAGAGCTTAACAAACGCTTTGTTATAGAATACATTAACTTGTATCAGACCCTTATTTAATAAAAAAAGGTTGTATTTCTACTAGCATGACCTTTCGCTCGTAATTGTGTGCGTAATATTTTAATATTATAAGTTGTCGTAGCAAACCCAAACAAAACAGCTACGAGCGCTACGAGACGCGCCCGCCTTCGTAGACGGTGCTACGAAGTTAATAAAGACCACGAATATTTTGTGAATAAGAATTAAGTCACACTTAATTATGACTGTTGATATTATTAATATTTATAATTCTTTTTGCTATATTATAAACAAATTGTATCATCACCTGTGAGGTCTCCGCTCTTCCTCATGATCTTCTTTCATAAACGATGGTTGCAGACTGAATCTGCGTCGGAACTGGTGACGACCCTTCATATTGGCAATCGTTAATTCACTTAGCACATACTAGGTAGAGCGGTAGTTAGTTCACAGCGCAATGTTTGAGTGCGTGTGCCGAGAGGCGCGCTGAGGCAGAGAGACGTCGCGACGTGCGCGGCTCGGGGCGGTCGCAGGACGAGTGCCGCTGCCCAGCCGCTACGCCGCGCGTCCTCACCCGACACCACGAGCTGTGATACATCTACAAACGCATTTATTTAAAATACCTACACAAATTATTTCACATTTTGATTAACATTAATTAACTGAATCTCATTACTTACCGACAAACACGGATTTTGAAATTGATTACGACATTAATTGAGTTTTCAGCCATACAAAGTGAATATTTGAGATATTAAATCGAGAACCAATAAATGTCTTGGCTTCAAATTTCGGTTGTCGCTGAATCAAAATTGAAATTCTATTGCAATAAAGTGTATCGATCGGGCCCAAACGATAGCATTGAGCCAATCAATATGCAATAAACGAAACATCTGATAGTCACGTGATACGATGATAAAAGGCTGTCTGTATCTATTAAATTGTGTTTGCAAAAACTGGAATTTGCGAAAGAGTTTTCATTCAGGAATTTCGTTTAGATTGGTTTGTGCGTGTAGCATGTTGGGTCGCATTCAGAACACTGCACGTATTATTAACCTTTTAGATTTTTCTAATTGCTCCGTTGACATTTTCTCTACGAGGAAGAAACGTCCATCTTAATTATGCTTTCTGTATATGAGCTTATCCAAATTCTTGGAAAGAGGTAATAATATTACACCCATGGGTACTCCACTATATGGGATAAGATATCATATTAAAGCTTTACGTTTTCGAAAACCTTTGTGGAGTTTTGGGATCTTTTCAAATAAATACTTGTGAAGAGAATAAGTACGTAGAGAGGAGGGTTTCTACAGGTACCTACATACCTATCCACGAAGGTTCGTAGGTATAAGTCCGCCTGTTGCTGCGCCCATCCTCCCCATAATAAGTAGAGTGTTCGAGATCTTTGGGTAAACTTTCTTTAAGATTTATTATGATTGTGTGTTGTTCGTGTTAAGAAAATAATGTCAATATACTACATTTTATTTATATTATGACCTTATAGTTAGAGTTAGAACTATGATATTATAATCTTCTAATTTTCATTATCTTATCACATTAGGGAGAAACTCTATTATCAAAATATTGACTGCACGATTGGTGCGGTGGCTGGGCAACCGGCTGTCGTGCAATGTGCCGCGGGTTCGATTCCCGCACGGAGCAACACTTTGTGTGATCCACAAATTGTTGTTTCGGGTCTGGGTGTCATGTGTATGTGAAACTTGAATGTTTGTAAACGCACCCACGACACAGGAGATAATCCTAGTGTGGGGCAACGTTTTTTTTAAAAAAAAAAAAAAAAAAAAAAAAATATATAAGAGACTCAACTTCATGTTCTTACTAAATTACCTAATTGGCACACCTATACACAGATATCACTTTACCTGAATCAGGAAATGAACCTATAACCCCACTCGCAACCATTAAGATCTATAAATGTGCTATAACGTAGTTACTTCGAATGGCAGTACAAGAAACGTGTTCTCGAATATATTACAGCCTTATTCCATTGTCATCAGAAGATGGGATTTTTATTGCAAACTTCCAAACGCAAGGGGATCATAATAGAAAAGAAATAAATTTTCTATGAGTGCTTGTGCGTGATGAAAATACGTACGAAGTTAATATTATAATACATAAGAACTATCAAATCTTACCTCCACAATCTCATCTGTGCGGTAATTTAATTTAATACCAATAAACTCATTTTCATTGAATACTCGAGTCAAATATTGGAATTATGTCTAATAAACTTGGTTGCGTAATAATACAATTAGTTTCTGTATAAAGTGTAATGTTATGCATGAAACAATTGAAGTAACGAGTCGATCGTTTATTTGGCCTAAGTATTATATAGATACATTACAAAAAACCTCAGTTATAAAGAGACAATAGACGAAGACAATAGACTTAGTTCCTTATAATTCTGCTAACTACTTTAAGTTAAAGAAGGCATGATATAATATTATGTCTATTCATTACGAGTAATTTCACGAGTCGCTGGTACCGCAATATGTTAAAATCCCTGTGTTGGAAAAACGTAGAAAAATGTAAGATATATTTTTGTTAAGAGCCTACCGTTTTCACGCTTATGAACAATTTCATGTTTCTTTTTAGGGTCCTGTATACTCTAAGTTAATATTATTTATTTAAAACTGTTCTTTTACGGTCACATCACTGAACTGTTATTATCCCAAGCCTGAGTGCTGCTGCCGAAAGATAACTACATTACTTTATTTCCAATTATTGGATAATGTTGAATTACGTTTGTGCCATTGCCATTCGGCATCAACAGTGTCCCCGACGACGCTAGGGAGCTTTGAAATGAAGGTTCATATAGGCCTCATACACTATTTTATCTAGTCCTTTGTGCGCCCCGTAACTCGTTATCCCTCGAAAATGGCAGCCGTTTTCCCAAATCTAGAAACTAGTTCTAACAACAGAAATCTTCGGCTTTTTACCTACAACATGTTCGTACTTAAACTCCATAAAAAACAAGTGTTCAGCTGATAACAACACTTACCAATATATCATTGTTATGTTCACAAATAAAATATTTATGACCATAAGCCATAACGAATTTCTTCTGTTTTAGGTAAGTACTTAGAATAATGATGTTTTTCTCCCAAGCTTCCAGTACCTGTCTCGGTTATTTGATCGTAATGAGGATTTTACAACTTTGTAGGCGTAGGACTTAACATTTAAGGACTTTTTCGTTTCGCTCGCTTTAATAAAAAATGTGAAGATTCCCTTCGCCCAAAGGTCACATTTTCGGCGACACGACCATTCAAAGGTGTATTTGTTTTGTGTCATCTGTCAGTGTACAGGGACCGAGCTACCGAGTACTGGATACAATGTTGACGATGTCATTAAAAATGTTTCGTTAAATCAAAGTCGAGAGCTGACCCTAAACAAACAATTAAAACGTTCGGTTGTATGAAGGTGTTGTCAAACACAACTTGATGAAACAAGTGAATTAGGGTGTCTTCCGCAAGTGGTCGTATGGAGACGAAGGGGTGAGGCGCTGGAGGCCCGAGAATTGCAAATTAGGCTCGTGTGGCGCGCGGAGAGGGGGAGGGAGGCGCTCTGCCCAGGTCGGGCGAAAAATAACGCTCAACAAGTGAGGAACTAACCCTTCGTGACCAGAGACTGGGAACTGACACATTTAACCCTTTAACCGCCGACAACGTAATATTACGGTTTTCGAAAGCTGTGTCCGAATCGCCACATACGTACAATCACGTTATTTTATTAAAAATCTTCTTATAGTGCACAAACTCCATATAAAATGTGTCAATTTCAAGATGTAGGGTATAATCTTTATTGTTATGGATATTTCTCAATGTTTTGAGTGATAAATACTGTGAAATTTGAGGTTTAATTAAATTGTGGTCACCGTCTCCATTATCTGTATCGCCAACCACGTAATTTTACGAGTACTAGGGATGGGGCGAATTCGAAAAATACTTAATAGGTTGTCTAAGAACAAACAAGGCACTATAGATATTACTGTCACTATTTGCAATGAAAGTGTATACTTTCATTAGAAAATAACCATAGTGTTACTTTGATGCAAGTATTTGTACTAATTAAAATGTATTTAAGTTTAATATTATTTAATATTTATAACAATAATATAAAAATTTCATAACGCAGAACCGCACTAGTGCGGACAATCGCCGGTCGCCATCATCGTAATATTACGTGCGGCCAAGGAGATTATAGCGCTGTATTGTGAGTTGCCTTAGCGCCGTCACCGTAAAATCACGTTAAACATTTATCACTCAATGCAACTAGTGTTGTAAGCCCTTTTTTGGGTTTTTGTTATTTCTCAAATAAATCAACACAGTCAAAACCAAATGTGTCCATTATGCAAAGTTAGAAGATGGTGACGCAAAAGTTTTTGATCAGAGACCAAGTGATCCACGAAATGAATACTTTGCATCTTTAAAACCTTTTGAGCTGGAAACCGTACTGTCGGAAATCCGCTCAGAAGTTTACATGAAATTATTAAATTTAATACAACATGCTCGTGGAGCATCGTCACCGTCGCCAGCAGGAGAACGGACGACGCCGTGGCCATTTCCCGAATACTCATTTTCGTACACTTCGTTTGAAGATTGAAAATTTTTAGCTTATTTATTAAGTAGGTAAATAAAACATTGATTTTAATTAATAAAGAATATATGAATCGATATTAAGTGTTCCCAACACTGTTCCAACTTATACCTAAAGTGACGTGGCGCTGGAGGTAAGTTGAAAGTTCAGAAGCTTGGCGGTTAAAGGGTTAAGATATAGTCACCTACAGTTTTATGTTTAACATCTGTTGTGTTCTCCGATTGATGAGTGACACAAAACACGCGTTTTATAAATATTAAAATATATCAACATATTTTACGTATTTAAATATAGTAGATACCCATGTTTATTGAACAGCGGAAGTTCCTTGCACTATGTTCCTTACGGTATTAAAGCGCCGTTAAGGTTTTAAACAATAAAATGTTATTTCTAGATACAAACATAAATAACTTCACGGCTGTTTCCCATGGGGGTAGGCAGAGACTATGGAACGCCAATTGCTACGATTCCTACGGACCTCCTTCTCTTTCTGTATTTGTAGATAATATATTACATAACATAACATGACATCACGCCTTTTTATCCCCGAAGGGGTAGGCAGAGGTGCACATTACGGCACTTAATGCTACTATTGTACAATGTAACACCCACTTTTCACTATTAATGTTATGAGTACCCTGTAAAAGGGGGTGAGCTTATTGCCATATACCGGGAACATTTCCAGACTCCGGGTTACTACTGAGATTTTTAAAAACCTAGAAATAATTTGCCCGACCCGGGAATCGAACCCGAAACCCCTCGCTCGACAGTTGCACTTGCGACCACTCGGCCAACGAGGCAGTCAATAATAAACGTATTGAGTATTGAGTATTGAGTATATTAATACGCATTTTTTACACTACTTAATGGGGATATTATGCAGTAAATGAGCCGACAAAGTATCGAAG